TCAGTTAAAAAATAAATAAACATGGCTGTGTAATCAATGTGATACTGCAATCTGTACATGTGGAAAAATAAGAACTCATACTCCATTTGAATCAAATGTATGATGTGTCAAGATCATTGTAATGTTTTGAGAAACTAATAAAAACATTAAAAAAGTATATAAATGAGTGTAAAGCAGACAAGTAGAATAGAGGAAGGGGAACATGGGGAGGGAAGAGGTGAGGGAATATGGAGCACAGGGAAATGAATTAGAGTACGTGAAATTACATGCATGCATGATTATTTTAAAATATTACTATTATGTATAACTAAAACTATAATGCACTAATGAAAGCAAAAATTAGAAAAAATGAGCTACAGTTTATTCCATTTATTATAAATCTAAGTGATCCTTATCATTTTCACTGTATTAATTTTAGTAAAGTTTTTGAATATTGTCTTATTTATTATAAACAATAAATTCAAGCATAAATACAATTGTAACAACTCTCTATAAGTAGCATAATAAGACAATGAATTTCCATAAGATAAAATTCTTCATTGTTATAATTTTGATATCTTGAATTTTGAATCATTGTTGTCCTAAAGCATTAACGAAAACAAAAATAAAAATGTAAAAATATGTCCAATTCCAAGGAAGCACACCATTTATTTAGTGGCATAGATATCACTGGCTGCATTAGCCAGGTTTACTGCTGTGGGGGGCAATAAAAAAAAGGAGAGCTGATTTTAAAAATTTTGAATTTGGACAGAAAAGTGACTGTTAAACTGCAGCCAAGAAAGGTGTATTTTGTGAAGTTATTATAACTCCTAAGGAGATGCTAAGTACTTGACACAGAGGCAATAAGAAAGATACCTCAGGAACTTGCAATACCACAACCATTGCAGGCTTCAGGGTATTAAAGAGAAAATGCCTTTAAGAAGAGACCAGGGCTGCTTCCTGCTTGCACAGGAAGTCCTTTCATTATGTTCAGTATCACAGGCCACTGCAGCCAATTGCATGGGACCCAGTCATTGAACAACCTGACAGAAATCTTTGGCACCATCTATATGGTTCTTGTTCAGGACGAATACAGGGTGTTAAAGGTTAAAGTTCATGGAAGTTTCTACTGAGATTCCAAAGGAAGGTCCTTGACACCAGACCCAATATGCAGGGTTGGAGTCTTTGTGAGATACCCTGAGAGAACTACGTACAAAGTTGTGAGGGTATAAACCAAGGTGGAATGGTGAGCCCAGGAATTAAAGATGCCATAAACATTAACTGTCTGCTGAGAAAAGCTGCCGGCTTTAGAGCCAGGCTCAAGGAGTCCACATGCCTGGCAACCATTAAGGCTAAAGGGGGTGAGAGTGCCCAAGCCCTTTACAGAGAACATCTGGCAGCCATGGGTCCTAGATGCTTTACCAGGATTTATGGGTTAAGTTACGGGACCTGCTTGGCCAGTGATGCAAAAGCTGAATAAGAGAGGTAATATGCTGTGGTGTAGTAAATTTGCTAGGTTTGTTTTTTACTTGTAGTTGTGAACAAATGCATATAGAGAAAAGAAAAATCTCTTTTACTCTACAGCCCTTGATGATCTTCATTCTGGAAGTATTCAATATTAAAACATTTCATGTGTCTTTTCACAAACAATTTTCCCCATATCAATACACATATATAAAATATAGGTAAATATAGTCTTAACTTTTACAAAACTTTTTCAAATATCCTGTACTATTTCTTTGTTCATTGTAATAAAACATTAAAATGTTGATTTATTTGTAATATGAATTAGTATTTGATAACCACATAAACAGAACAATTGACAAAATGCATTTATTTAGATAGAGCAAAATGCATGACCAAGTGCCATATCTATTTAAATTGTTTTTAAGCAAAAAGGGGATAAACACCTTAATTTTTTTTACATTAAAAGAAGAGTACCATCTTCCTAAATTCCCATCTTACAATTTTGGTTTTTTCTCTTGACATTACTTGTATTGTAATTAGGAGAAATCCACTTGCCCTGAAATATATGTATTCATGTAACCCAGGCAATGACCATCCAGGAATTGGTGCATGAGAAGACAGCTGATCCTCAGACCTTCCTCAGAGAGATGAGGAGTTACCTCTGTCTATAGAAGAAATGGAATCTCTTTCTGATTTGCATAACTGGGAGATGGACCCAGTTATTTTTTTCCTTGTGGCTTCCAAGCTACTGGAAATGTCACTAGTAAAATCAAACAAAGTCTCCCTGAGACACGAAGGTAGATATGTGGGGAAAGACAGATTCACCATGTTTCTATCACTTTCTGTGTTAATCAGCTATTACAAAAAAAAAAAAAATCCTGAGATAATCAACTTAGAAAAAAATAAAATTTTATTTTGTCTCACAGTTTAGAGGTTTCAGTTCATGGTTGGTTGGCTCTGTTGCTTTTGAGCCTGTGATGAGACAATACATCATGGAAGGAGTGTTTAGTGGAAAAAGTTGCTCAAATCATGGCAGCCAGAAAGCAAAAGAGGGAGTGGGGGAGGCATCCCAATGTCCCTTCATGTTCACAGTCAAAGGACCTAACTGCCTTCCACTAGACCCCACCTCTTAAAGGTTCTGCTATATACCAGTAACTTCAAAAGTTGGGACTAAGGCTGTCACACATGGGCCTTCAGACACACTTATCAAAACCACAACACTTACTCAGCTCTTTCTGGGCAATAGGGATGAGTCCACCTCTCTTATATTTTGTTCACTTAGTTATGACCTATTTACCAGGTCTTTCTTATTTTTTATCTTTAGTGTCAAAGAATAGAACAGAAAAATGAAAAGACTTTGCCATATGCCAATTCAATATGTTATTAGATATATAGGGTTAGTATTGAATCAAGTCAGACCAGTTTTGTTTTCCAAGCAATCCTGAGAAAATTGTCAAGAAAAGAAAATAGGAAATCGTAGAAGAGTGCAAAGAGGATACTATCTGGACTTGGTTTTTTCGAATACTTAGAAAACACCAAAGACATGTGTCTTTATATTCATGAATTGTGTAGCAATCCAAAGTTATTTCTTTACTTACTTATAGGTCCATGTGAAAATAAGAAATATAGAATAATAAAAAATATAGAAAATAAAAAATATAGAATAAAATATAGAATTTATATATTTCTAGTGTTGTAGCTAAAAATGTACTTCATGCTATATTTGTCTTAAAGTTTGATGAGAAAATACTTGAAGTTATTTCTAAAACAACTCCTAGAAATCTATATGTGTCAAAAAAAAAAAAAATCCCCTCCAAAAACCAGCATGTGATATACTCTGGCCTACCTTTTAAATGATTGTTTCAATACTGTTCTCATTCCCTTTATGTTTATTTTTAACTTTCAATAATTAATCATAAGAACATATCTCAGTAAGATAGATCATCTGGAAAGAAATGCTGGAATAAAATGTTTCATTAAGAAATTGATGTTAAATGTTAAGATGTTGCAATCCACACACATACATGATGGTTTATTTCCTTCTAGATATGTTTACTGACTGACTACACCATGCTTGGTGCTATTGAAGATGTATAGATGTTCATACTTTGGTAGAGAAGGTGACATATACATTTCAAACAAAAGCATAAAAAAATGTATAACAGTGTGACATAATCACTACAGGCAATAAATTATACATAGTTTAGAGGCAGAAGAAAAGTTGTTTTCAAAAGGTTATCAGAAGCATCATTGAAATGCTGTTCACCATAACATAGGCAGGACAAAATTGTTCTGTAGCTACATCTACACATCCTGACAGACAGTTCTGAGAATATTCCAGCCAAAACTTCTATTCAAATGGGTCAGTCTGATTTACAACACAGCTGCTCTAAGGGAGTGAATGGTGCTTTTGAATTCCTGCCAATCAAGCTGCCTCATGGACAAACTATGTGTGATTTGTTCCATGTAACAACACTTTCAGAATTTGAATTTTTGTGCCACAGAGTAAATATAGAGATGTAGTCTTGGTGAATAGACTAGAGAGATGTGAATTAACTGTCTGGTACCATTGTGGTCTGTTGAAATAGATAAACACAATACTTATCATTTTCTTATGAGGAAATAATGTCAGCTATCTTTTTTTCTCATCTGCTTCTCCTATTAGACCATGAATTCTTGGAGAGCATGGGGTTGTTTGTATGTATTTCTCTGCACTTTCCACATTGCCTAAGAGTTCAGAGAATGCTTGCCAAAGCAATGCTCAGTAGGCATAGAGTAATTACCTTATTCTGCTCGCATACTCCCATCTCTCAACACTGTCCTATGTTGTTCTATGGAGAGAGACTTCTCCTACAGGGATTTTTCAATACTCACTTTTAACAGAATCTCTATCATTCGTTAGGGAATAATATGATCTACAAGTCTTTTCTTTTTTTCCTTTTTTTTTATGGTTAAAATGGAACCCTATCTGTAACCAGATGAATATACCAAAGAAATGTGTTACCCAGGCAACAGAGCTGCTTGGTTTGAATGACTTCCTGATTATCACAGTGGAAGTTAAAATGAAAAATGTTCGGGAAAGTGCTGAGTTTGTACTAAGTTGGTGATCAATAAGGGAAAAACTATGAGTTTTGAGTGAAAGATGTAAAGTGTTTGGACTATTTTAATATTCATACTAAGTATAAAAGACACTTCTATTCATTAAGATTAATTAAATTTCTGAAGAAATTCAGGAGTTTACTGCAGAGCACATGTAACCGCCTGTCATTTGTTTTTGTTTCTTACCTATTTCTGTTTTAGAAAACAGAAGAATCTTAAGAAGCCTGCTGATGTGTTTATGGTTGCATATTAAAATTTGAAATGGGTTATCAGATACTCTTTATAGATTATATTGTCTCATTCAAACAAAATAATTTTGTCTGTAATTTTAACATTTCTCATGAAAATAAAGTATTTTATAAATATACAGTATTCCTCCTTTTGAAAGAACAAGAGGCAGAATGTTATAGCTTATTCCATTGTTAATTTTTCCATTTTTCTTAGCATGATCTTACCTGAGAAATAGCAATGCATTGCAGATGTGACTCAAATTTCCTGGCTCAGGATGTCCACTCTGTTGCTAATAGTTTTGTCACCTCATTGATGAAAAGGAGGGAAAGACCTCTCACCATACAGTGTTGCTATCAGGAGTAAAAGAGATAATCTCTTAAAGAATGAGCACAGCTCATGGCAGAAGCTAAGCATGTAAGGCTTGTCATTATTAATAACTGAAGATAATTATATGGGAAAAAATGAGACATAATTTTTCTCTGAAGACGAAGATCTTATCAAAATCATTTCCAATGTCAGTAAACAACTTTTGTTTTCATAAGTAGACACAAATTTAGAGTAAAAAGGCATTACCTGAACATATCCTTATTAAGACCCACAGATCTCTCACACCCTCTGGGTGGAGCAAATAACCAATACACAGTTTTCTCAATAGTATGTGATGAATGTGTTCGGAATATCACCTTGTCATAATGAAATAATCCAATTTGAGAAGCTTCAATGTATTTTGTTGTGATTATATAACTTTACATATTTTTGTTCTGATTTTTACAATGCCATGTTTGGTCACTATTTTAAACAACACTGATTCTAAAATAATTATATTTGAAAGAAGTATTTGCAAATCACCAATCATGAATCTCTTCATGGCAAGATTGTTTTATCAATAATATTTAGAATGGTGCATGACTTAGGTTAGAGAAAATTTAATTTAATGCTATGTATAAATGATCTTAGTTTATAATCTGGTTCTTTTTTCACCCTGTTATGTCTAGTAATTAAAATACTATAAAAATAATCCTGTTTTTAAAGTGTGTTGACATCATTGCAATAATCCTTTCAGATACTTAAAAAAGTCCTCGAGTTTTACAAACCCAATGATGGGAAACATTCTATTATTTGATCGAAGTCTAATTCTAATACTAATTCTAATGTTACCATTAAAATATTTCCATTTGACTTTAGGATTAAATAAATTTATTGTCAACAGATTTACTTTTACATTTATGCAATTCCTAGGCTAATATTTTATAGAAATGCAATTGCAGTTTTCCTTGGAAGGTACCAAGGCCAGACCCACTTGTCTGGTAAGGAACAGACAGAGTGGCAAGGGAGAGACACAAAGGCGCTAGCAGGATATTTCACCCTGAGCACAGTTCACATACAGATAGCCTAGTGTGGACTTTAATTCATTTCAGTGCTTCACTCATTTGACAACAAGAGCAAACGTTATATATCAAGTGCAGACTTTGGTAGGGAGGAGATAACATGAAATAGAAAAATAATTATATTATCTTCAATTGAAACAAGCAAATCTCATATCCAGATATATGTAGAAGGTTGGAAGACAGTTGTCTATGAGCCACCCTGATTGGAGAATATCAAACATTCCTCTTCCCTGCTTTAATGCATTTGTAAATTGCTAAATTTAGATTAAATTCTATGCTTGAACAACAACAAAAAAATGTATCAACCACATTTTTTTTCCCCAAGGATTATCGTTATGTATTTTCTTGTAACCTTTCAAAACTGAAAGGTCATGAAGGCAAGGCTGCCCTTTAGAGAGCTCATCAATAACAACAAAATTATTAGGTTGAAAAATTATAAATTTTATACAAAAATTGCCCTGATACTGCCTAGTTATTTGTAGTCATTCTACATTCCTTCTATAACTTATTTTTTAAACTAAATGTGAGCAGTATAACAATATTATCTTACATATGTGTATATACATAATATATGTGTGCAAAAAATAAAAGTGTATGTGTGTGCTTTTAAAAAATATACTAAATAGCATAGCAAGAGAATAACAGTGGTTAAACTTTTGTATTAGTTCTGTGCTGTGCCTCCAACTCTAATTTCAAGAATCATTAGAAATACATAGTTATAACATACACGTTTCAGATTTGAACCACTTGGTTTTCTGCAAGTGGAGTAAAATCCTAAAACCAACTAACAAACAAACAGACCCTCAATGCTACCTTTTAAACTCCCCCCACCACAAACACACACACACATACACTGCGCAGATTTCTGATGTACAAAAATTTAGAAATAGTTTTTTTTTTCCACCCATACAACAACAACAACAAACTGAACAGTCAAAGTCTATGATTTTTGTCAGACCCATCAGAGAACTGAGGTCTCAGGGTCAATTGCCTTCCTGAAATCTGGAGAGACTGGTAAATGCAGAGCAAAGCTGAGATCAGCTCACGTGGAAGGGAGGCTGCTGAGCCATAAACTGGTCTTCTCAGGAGAAAACGGACAGCATAGAAGAACAGATGGAAAATGTAAACACAGAAACAGAAACTCGGAGAAAGAGTCGATGAAAATGGCTAGCACCATCAACACTGTGACAGAAATATGCCTCCGATGGACTCAGGAGTCTGGACATAGGAAGCGGAGAAGACGTGAGCTTGAAAATACATTAATAGAAACTTTCCTAACTCCAATACAAGAGAAAAAAAATATGTAGAGAGGAGGAGAAGGAAAAACCATTCAAAAATTATGGGACAATTGCAAAGGTGTAATGTATGTGAAATGAAAACACCCAAAGAGAGAGAAAGAATTGAGAAGTGTTTAAAGTAATTAGTGGTTAGGAATTTTCCAAAATTAATGTTATACAAAACTGTGAACACAGATCCTCAGAGGACACAGAGCAATAATATTATATCTAGGCATGTAGTTTTCAAACTTCAAAAAAATAGAACAAAGATTAAATTATGAATGAAGTCATGGGTGGAAAGGCTGAATATCTTCCCTATAGAAGAAAGACAGTCAGGGGCTCGGGGTGTGGCTCAAGTGGTAGCACACTTGCCTGGCATGAGTGAGGCTCTGGGTTCGAACCTCAACACCACATAAAAATAAAATAAAGATATTGTGTCCACTTAAAACTAAAAACTAAAAATAAAAAATGATAGTAAGAATTACTTTGACTTTCTCATTGAAGACCATGCAAGCAGAAGGGCATGAGGTGAAATAATTTTTAAAGAAAATTTTATTCAAAAACTTATAATTGTATATCAGGCAAATTTTTAAAATTAAAGAGATGTTTACAGGAAAAAAACATGATTTCAGTGGTATCATATCTTCCTTGAACAAAGAATTTTATACCAGAAAAGGAAAGAAATTAAATTTATATATAAAAAAAGAAAAGCATGAGAAAAAAATGCCTTTCTCACTTGATACAATATGTAACTGTTTTTACCAATGTGTTGGTGATAATAGTATATGAATAAGTAAAATGAATGGTGCCAATATCATACAGGGCATAAGGCAGGAGATAGGGATGCACTATTAAGGCACATCCCTACAACTGAGCTGTTAGCGATATTTTAAATGTTTGGAAATATATATTGCAAAATTCAGGGAAACCATTAATTTTTTTAAAAAAATAATATATCTGATATCCTAAGAAGTAAAAAAAGAATCACTTAAGATGCTTGCTTAAAATTACAGAAAGTAGAACAATGTGAGAGAATAACAAAAACTATGAATAGTAAGTTGTTAGAAATACAGAAGATATAAATCCCACTATTTCAGTAGTTGTTGTATATTTGAATGGTCTAAAAATGACACTTAAAAAATAGAGATAGAAGCCATTGGGTGTGTGTGTGTGTGTGTGTGTGTGTGTGTGTGTGTGTGTGTGTGGCACATGCCTGTAACCTCAGGAATTCAAGAGTCTGAGACAAGTGGATTTCAAGTTCAGGGCCAGCTTCAGAAACTTAGCAAGATCCTCCCGCAAACTTCAATCAATCAATCAAAGCACTGGGGATGTAGCTAAGTGTTAAAATACTCCTGGGTTTTAATTGAGAAAGAGAGAGAGAGAGAGAGAGAGAGAGAGAGAGAGAGAGAGAGAGAGAGCGCCAATCAAAAAAAAGACCCATCTATAAATTATAAGACAAGTCACTATAAAAATAAATGATTATATACAGTCTAAAGGTTAACAGTAAAGGGATGGATAATGGAATTCCATGCTACCACTAATCCAAATAACTCTAACATGGGTATAGTAATTTTAAAAACATAGACTTTAAAATAGGAACAATGATCAGAAACAAGTGGGGATGTTTCCTTATGATAAATAGATCAAATCTCCAAAAAAACCCATAGTACTATTTCTATATTTACCTGCAAATAGAACATCAAATACCTGAGATAAAAACTTATAAGACTTTAAAACCAAAGTGATAAAACATGTCTTTGTGAATTCAATTCCTTGTTGCAGCAAATGAAAATCAGCACCATTGGTTGACATAGACACCATTAATCAACTTGACCTAATTGACATTTGTAGAATAGTTTATTCAATAACAGGAGAATACTTATCATTCAAGTTCAATTGAAAGATTCACTAAACTTTCCCACATTATGGGACATAAAACATACACTAACATCTAAAAGATAGAAATCACTGAAAGTATGTCTTCAGATCACAATGAATATATGAGAATACAAATACTTATGGCATAAGGACTCTGCTATATGGCTCTATACTATGCAAACTGTATTTTCTATTATAATACCATAATAGAAAGACAGATGAAAATTCCCAAATATTTGGGAAAGAATCCCACATTCCATCACCTCATTACCCAGACACAAACATACTATTGATGTATCAAAGAAATATCTTAGCAATAATTAAAAATATTGGGTAAAAAATGAGAATAAAACTAAAACTCATTTAAAATTGAGGGATGCAGGAAAAGTAGTTCTTAGAGGAAAAATTACAGCATTAAAATGTATCTGTTAGAAAAAAATAATATAAAGTACACAAGCTTTTCATCTGAGGAAAATGTAGAGACACAAAAATCTTAAGCCTAAAGTAAGCAGAGGAAAATAAATAATGAAAATTAGAACAAAAATTAATGAATCTTTTAACAGGGAAATGATAGATAAAATCAACAATATGAATATCTGACTCTTTGAAAAATACATAAATTGATGATCGTTTAGCCAATCTAACCAAGGGAAAAGAAGAAATGACAATATCAGTAATAAAGAAGGTTGTCTCTGATCCCATGGACAAATGATAATAGGGAATACTATGAATGATCATGTACCTACAGTGTTAATAATTTAAATGAGATGGATTAATTCCTTGAATGATCCAATATAAGAAAAATTC